CCCAAAACCCCAAAACCCCAAAACCCCAAAACCCCTTTTGATAAATAAAATATTGAAAATGGAAAATAACCAACTTGTCCTCCCTCAAGCCCTGAAGATAGTTGACACATCGTTCACGAGAAGGAGTGGGTCCATGGGGTCTTCCATGTTCTCAAGAAATGGGCGCTCTACTATCCATGACTATATGATCTTCAGCTCCGAAGAAAGTAAGAACATGAATACTCTAATTTCGAAAATATTTATTCATCTTTAGAGAGGTTAAGATACTGAAACTCCAGTTATGACCCAGGCATGAACAAGGAAGATCCTCTATATCATTTAATCTACAAGGAGCCAGTGTTTGAGAAAATTACAGAAAAGAAGAACAAAAAGAGACGGAATTAGGAAGTTTTGCTCTAATTATCTTTTTAATGTTGTGTCGAGGAACAAAACCTCATCAGCCATAAACTCAAAGCCGAATACACCAAAGCTTGGAAAATATTCGCCTAATTATGAATCGGTTGACAGAAAGTCCTTCCAATACTCATTCTGTAGTACAGGCAGAGTAAGAGTTAAACTAATTTCATAGAGCTCTGGTAGAGTTTGCATGAGTTTGAACCGATTCTGTTCAGGTTCGACCTCTTTGATAAATCCCTAATCAGTCAAAACTGGCCAAGAAGTCTCATGATATCTCCAAACTTGTGAAGAAAAGTGCAAAGAATAGGAACTTTAAAATCACTAAAAATGATAAAAATAGTATCCTTAAACCAGGCAAATTGCTCCGAAGAAATCTCGTAAATAGGAAGGCAATAGTCGATGATAAATTACCTCAGATTACTCATAAGAAGAGCCTACAGATTTAATATAAAGGCTATATAGGAAATTCAATGAGCTTGAGTATCCAATTGTCATTATAACATCGACAGTAATATCAGAAAATGGTAGCAATTTGAATACTTTTATTCCCTATAATCTGCTACCAAACTTACAAATAAACATTATAATTCCATGATGCTAAAACTTAAGACTCCAAGGCTCTATCCCAACCTTCCACTAACCATACCCCACTGCCCAACCTCCTTGTTCCCTGGGCACCTAAATCCCCCAACCCACGACTCCTCGCCTCCAAATTCCCCCAATTTTCACTTCTCAGCACCCCTTTAAATCCAATTTCCCAAGAAAATTTATTTCATCTCCCACTCAAAATCTGAATTTCCTTTAAAAATTAGCTTAAGCCTCTATTGGAAAATCCTAATTCTGTGCAGGCGGAATTAGCTGTTGGGTTTGAGGCTTGAAAGGGGTTTTAGGGAAGAGTTGAGGGGTTTTGAAGTGGGGATTTTGGGAGTGAGGGGTTGTGTATATGGGGAAAAGGGGGGCTTTAGGAGGAGGAGGGGATGTGGTTTGGAGGTATAGAGGTTGGGAATTGAGGGTAGAGGGGTTATACTAGTTATTTTCAATTAAAATTGAGGTTTGAGGGGTTTTGGGGTTTTGGGGTTTTGGGGTTTTGGGG